GAGCCAAGAGTCCGTGGTCGAAGGGTCCACTGCCAATGTGCACCGTGTGCACCGTCGGGGCCAGGGGCCAGGTCCGAAACCAGGTCCGAATCCGAATCCAAATCCGAATCCACGCTGTCTTGCAAAGTGGTGCGCAGTCGTGCGGTCGTGCAGCCGTGGAGCCCGTGGAGCCGCGCCGCGGTGCAGGTCGGACAGGTCGGTCAGGTAGACGATTGAGTGGATGCAATAAGATGCGCTACGTAGGAATCAAGAGGTACGATGTAAGACGTAAGACGCAGATGCACGGGCAAGTGGATGTCGAGGTGCACGTCTAGTCGAGTCCAGCCTGTGACCAATCCACCAATCCACCTACCAAGCAATGCAATGCAATGCAGTGCAGTGCGAGCCGAGCCTCTGGGTGGCCAGGTAGCCGGCTGCAGCACTCACCACCGCGCGGCACCGCGGTTTACTGCAGTCCACAGCAGCGCAGCGTGTGAGAGGGACAATGTGTCGGATGTTGATGCCGCTAGAACCCTCTGGACCTCTCTAGACCCTTCAAGACCCTCTAGACCCAGGAAATGAAGGCCGTTAAGAGGGTAACCATCGGATGATCAAGAGAGTCATAGAGGGTGACTTTCGGCTGTGGGACCTATAGGGTCTGAAGGGCGCTGGATCAACCCACAGTTCATGGAGTACCGATGCAGGAACCAACCCGAGAAAATTTCCGGGATCTAGGAATCAAGATATCAAGGAATCCAAGAACTCCAGAACATCCAGGAACACTGTGTGGGAAAGGTCAGAGCTACCATGTATGAGTGACCTTAAAGTATGTAATAGAAGTCGACGCACATGAGAGGGGTGGCACATGAGAGGCGTCTGACTCGTCTGAGAGTAAGCGCGTCAGCATACCAGGTTGCGTCATCCTACGCCTGACAGTGTGAAGCAAGCGCAGGGTAGGTATTGTCGGCAGGGCCTGAGGTGCATGCACGATGTGGTACAAGGACGGCCCGACAGTGTGAAACTACACACTGTGCAACATGCAAAGAGACGTATTGAGATGCAATGAGAGTGGGGGCGATTGGTGGTTTCGAGCGCAAGGTGTACCTGTAGGAGGTTGTTAGGGTGGTTGAAGTGGCAACCGAGGTGGAACAGGTGCGTACAGTGATGCGTGTGAAAGGTGAGAGTGGATGTGGCGGTGATGAGGATGCATGTGGTGAAGGAAATCCAGGCAGCATGCAGTCGCGCAACTTTCACACACTCGGAGCGCCAACACTTCCCCAGTCGACCCCTGCATCAGCGAGATGCGCCCCGTGCCGACCTGCGAAAATGAGGCTGCTCACGAGTACGAAGTGCAGCGAGCGCTACCTGTGGCACCTGAAGTCTAGTCGGCCAAACCCCCGCGTCGGCAGATCAGAAGATATACCTGGCGGGATGTGAAACCAGTAGGCGATGTGAGCTCGGCAGACCAGGGCCGCGGCTTAGTGTTGTCATCACAGAGCCATGCCTGTTGGCGGTGATGGAGAGTGGCAGTGTAGTGGCCAGAGTTGGCGCTGGGGCCTTGATGGCATATGGTGGCCAAAACCTGGTACTCACAGACCTGAGAGTCCAGCCCAACGGACGAAAAGCATGGCACATTTATGGTGGAACTCCAACGAACAGAACCCTTATGCTTACGAATCCCCCTGCGGGTATCCAAAAACCGGGAGAGGCGTAAGACTAAAACAGGCGGTGGGCGTGTAAGTGCATGGATCGTGTGCTGATGATGCCAGTCATTGATCAGCTGCTGCAATACTGAGTCAGCATTACGGTTGGGCAGATCTAGACTGATCGCGGCGACACAAGCGCCCCCGTCCAGAATGCGTACAGAGCCAAGTTCCTGACGTCTGGCCTCCCAGCCGCCGTCGAAGACCTGAGAGCCCAAAAGCGGGGCCAGATGCAGAAAGAGTTCGGCTGCATCATGCTGCCGCGTGGGTTGAGCCCAACGACGCAGCAGTTGTTGCCAGGGCCGACACCGAAGTAGATTTATGGGTCCAGGGGGGCCAGTCAGGACCATGTCAAGGGCATGCCTGCCGTAATCCGAGAGGGCACCACGTAAATGCGGAGTATGCAAGAAAACCCAAGCAAGACTCAAAACAAGGGAGTTAAGATAGCAAACATTGTTGTGATTACTCAAAGTGATGCGCCTCAGCCAATCAGGCGCTGGATTCGTTGGATCAGAGGGGCACGCCTGTAGCCCTCCGGACGGAACTGAATCCCTATGGTCTGGAAGATCGCTGAGCCTTGCAGACGGGCAAGCTCCAGAGAACCGTGCCCTGCGTGTCCGCATTGATGCCCTTCGTGGCTGCAAACCGCGTGAGGGTGTCCCCGTTGATCACTCGAAGGAGGGTGGAGAGGCTCTCCAGGATCTGGGCCATGCTGAGGGGAGGGCGGGAGGTGTCCACGATGAGCATCTGATGCTGGGAGTCCCATCTTTGGAAATTCCAGTTGCTTGACGTGTCGATCCACGAGGCGCGGTTGGCGTAGGCAAGCTGCTCCTGCGTGAGGTGGGACAACTTCTCCTTCAGATTCGTGAAGATTCCCCAGAGAAGAGTCACCCTGAGGCTGATGTGATCTGCCTGGATCTCCTGTTTCTCCGCTGCCTCGCGCCATTTGCTCGCAAGATCGGCCAGCATGGGCAGAATCGAGTGATCGCCGGATCGGATCCAGAAGACCCATCCTGTGGAGCGGCGAAGGACATTCAAGGTGTCCTCGTGACGGACAATTGCCCGAGCTACCAAGTGGAGCAGTTCGGCATCCTCCCCGTCCGCGGTTGAACCACTGGGAAAGCTGGAGTTGCCGCTGTCGCTCTGCGGGCGCCCGTTCGAGTTCTTGCCTGGTCGACGACGCCCGCCCTTGCCTTGAAAGCCCTTGCCCTGTCCACCCAGGGCAATCGAGCCTCTGCCGACTTTCGGAATGCGATCCTGGGGCGTGCCTGTTGGATTCGCATCCGTGCCCCTCTTCCCCGCCGCTCCGATCACGCTGCCGAAGCTCTCCTGGAGCTGGCCCAGAATCTGCATGGAGGCATCCGCCGCTTGGGTGGATCCCGGGGTGGCCGTCATCGTCAACGAGCAAGCTGAAGAAGCAACACTGCCACAAGCTAACACAGTGTGCTAAGTGCTGCGTGGGATGTCTGTGTGAGCGCTCACAATATAGACATGGATTGAAGGCAACTCCTATCCTGGGCCCCTGCTGAGAAGCACGAGCAGCATGACGCAAGAACAGCTGAGAGTGCAGGTCCCGGAAGTGATTTTTAAGAGCAGTGGGAGTGGCCAGCCATTGACCACAGAGCCCGCAAGTGTGTAGCAAAGTGGTTTTCACCGGATGTCTGAGCAGGGCTGATAAGCCTCCAGCGCGAAGCGTGCTAATCAGCTTCTCAAAAACCGCGGGCGGTGGCAAAATTGCCCCAGCCATGCTCGTGTGATCTGGCGGACTTGACAGAACAGTAATGTCATCTCTCTCGGATTCCACTTCCTTCTGAGGGGCCAGCCCTATGGACACCGGAACCTGAGACTCCGGCGACAGTGCGGCAGCGGCTGCTAGCTGAGGAGGGATGAACATGGGGGTGAGTGGTGATGTTCCAGCGGGGATGGGAAGTGGCGCAGGTGTCGACGCTGCTAAGACAGTAGTGTGTGTTGGGGGGAGTGGCATGGCTGGACAACTCCAAGAGCTGATGTGTTTAGCCAAGACTTCCCATCTCGTAAATGCATGACGACACAAGGCACAAGTAGGTACACCGTCAACTGAGTGTCGAGCGCGATCAAAGGGGTGCTTAGGAACCTGGGTCTTATGAACCCTAGCCATGTGCAATTTAAGGGTTTTGCGGTCAGGGCAGCATTTTTGACAGATCGGGCAGTTGAAGGAAGTCGGGATCGCGTCATGGACAGCTGATGCCGGGACATCTGTGTCATCCAAGGTTGCGACCTGCGAGTCAAGCGCCGCCTGGTTTGGAAAGGTATGTTCCGACGAGGCTAGGGGACCAGGTATCGGAGTGACGAGTGAGTGTTCAGTCTGATGTGTAAGGGGATGTGTCGACGATGGGACAGCATCAGGCTGAGGCGGGGGTGCAGGACAGGTGGAAGACGAAGCAAGAGCAGATACCGGCGTGAGACGGCTAGCAAGGTGCAAGTTCCATTCGTGGTCATATGGGAGAACATGAGGATCATCCGGCTCCTGTCTTCCAAACGCCGACTCAAAGGTTTTCCTGAGGGCATCCCGGGGGGAGGGGACGTGTACCCTTGCCAGCAGGTCGACGTCTGATTCATGCGTGATATGAGCTGGGCACCTGGCGATTCCTCGTAGATGCTTCAATACCAAGGTCTGCACCTGGGCATGTTGTTCGTCTGACAAGCCGCATACCTCCAAGCCATACGCCAAGCAGGGCCACACAGTGGCCCGCCAGAGTCGAATCCTGTGCGTTATGGTGAGAGTACGGTGAGCATGTAAAACGCATCTAAGCCTGGAGTGCGTTGCCTTAGCCAATAAGGTGCGGCGACGTAGAGTGGCAGAGGCGTGGGAATCATAGGTGGTGACTGCTCCCAGGTAATCTGCCTGTCGGACGAGCGGAAGAAATTCGTCGCCTTGCCTGGTATGTATTCTAAAGAGCCTGCCGTCTTCACTGATGCGTACAAGTTTCTTAACTGCAGTGCTGCGTTTGGTGCCTTCAACCGTGATGATTGCGTTCGCCTTGGTGGCGTGGACGCTCATGCCATGGCTCCGTAATGTAGACATGATATAGCCTATTTGTGAGCTGAGCGTTTCAAGCTCATGGAAGCTGTGAAAACATTGGCCAATGTGGAAATCGTCAGCGAACATAGTTAAACAGCGTTCCACCCATTCAGCTGTAAGGCGTGCACTGAGTCGTCTCGTGACGAGTGTCATGAATGCCGCGAAGAGCAGGGGACTGGCGGGACAGCCCTGCTTGACTCCCCTGTTGGTGGGGATGCATGTATGCTGCTGGTCAATGTAGAGATCGTACCGTACATTGATGCAACCAGTTCAAAAGAAGTTCAGCCGGAGCCCCTGTGATACCCGCCTCGTGTAGAGCCTCAGCGATGAGATGTCGTGGTACATAGTCAAATGCCGATGTAAGGTCCAAGCAGATCTGAAGTCCGCCTTGTAATGACGGTGAACGACCTCCGGCTCGTTTGAAGTGAGGGTCTCGCGTGCTGGGACTGCGGAGGGCACGAGCGTCGTGGTTATGGAGAAAGACTCGTCTTAATGCATCAGACGTCGATCTGCCCGTCACATAAGCAAATTGTGGTGTGGTACGTACGTATGTTTCCAGGTCAAAACGCAGCTTAGACAGCAACATAGAGATCGACGCTTTGCCAAGGGCGTCACGGAGACCAATAGGTCTAAAATCTTTCGGTGAGGATCCTGTCTTATGTGGTTTCAGCAACAGAGAGAGTGTGGCCTTGGCCCAGTTGTCTGGCGGCTGAAGCGGTGCCTGACTCCAACGCTGAGTTAAGATCTTGGCAAGCGGAGTGGCGACCAAATCTGAACACATGCGCCACACCGCACCGGGGGCTGTGTGAGGAGCCCCGGCCTTGCGAGCCGGAAGCTTGTCCAGAAAGACTTGCAGCTCTCGGCTGTCGACGGGGAAAGAGCTGTCCTCCGCGAGTAGTTCTGGGGGAGTCGGTGTGTGTGTGTGTGTTGTCACCGTTAAAGACCTGCATAAAGTGCTTGCGCATGGTGTCTAATCTCCTCCGGTGTCAGTATGGACCCACCTCGGCTGAGCTGGAGTTTACGATACCTGCCCTTAGGAGCCAATTTGTCCACTAACTGATAGAAGAGGCGACTGGACCCCGAACTAATAGCTTGATCAGCCTGCATTAAGAGGTTGGCTCGTCGTGCACGGCGAAGTTCCTTTCCCTGGCGCTGAGCCATGCGATGCATGCGCGCAAACTGGACACTGTGACGCCAGCATTGGAACAGGGCCTGAGCATGCTGATAGGCAGCGGGCCGAGACGCCCACCTGCGCAGCTTGCGAAGGTGGCCCCACATGAGGGATGCATATTGTTGCAGAGTACCATCCTGCCATGGACGTTTTTCCCTGACTGGTGCTTTCTTCGGAAAGTGTTTAATTGCAAGAGAACGCACAGTGTCATGAAGAGCCATGAGGTCGTGACTAATGGAATCCAGTTGAGTTTGCAAATCTCTCCGAAAATCCTGAACCCTTGGGTCGTCCTTGCCTGCCAGTGCATCGGCAATGGCATGACGGTCAATGGCTTTGGCTGCTGTGTCCTGTGGGCTCTGGGACCAGGGTCGCCATATGTTGGGGACACTGGCATGAACGGGAAAATGGCGGGCTCCCCCCCGCCAACAGCCGAGGGGGTGATCATGCTTGGCATGGGATTGGCGCGAGTGGCCATCCGCTAGGTCACGTTTGATCATGATGAAGTCTATGTGTGAACGCTGCGTTCCCCAACAATAGGTGTGGGGTGGGTGACTGGACTGGAAAGTGTTTAATACACACAGATCGAGGCCAAGGACCATGGCCTGAAGATCTTCCTGATCCGTCGCCCAGCGGGGCGGAGGCGGAAGAAGCTGCGCGCCTATGTGCGGGGTAGAACTAGCGCAAGAGGTGTTAAAATCCCCACCCACGATCAAAAGACTACGTTTGGGGACTTGTTGAATGACCCTGGTGAGGTTGTCCAAAGCTTGATGTCGTAGCGTGCGGATATGATCGGTGTCGTGCCATGCATGCTGATAAAAGTTGATCAGATCACAAGGCTGCGACCGGCGACTGAATTGTACGCGATGCAGGCGTCCGGGCAGGGGCTCCACATAACGTAGTGAACCCTGGTCTACCAGCTTTTTAGAAATAACTGTTAGTAAGCCCCCTTGCTTAAAGTCTTTGGTCGCGGAGCCACTGTGTATGAAAAAGTACTGATTGGTGTCCCAGCAACTACTGAAGCGCCATTTGGTTTCCTGCAGCAAGAGAACATCAACCGGGTTTTGATGAATGTGTATCAAGATTTCGTCATACAGACCTCCACCTAAACTGCCCACATTCCATGTGTAGACATTAAGTCGTTGGGAAAGGGTGTCGGGCGTGGGAACAGGTCGGGAAGGTTGGGAAGAGTGTGATCGGCGCTGGGTGAAAGAGCTGGTAAACTCCGAAGAGTACTGGGACTGTGGCTGCTGTAAGGCCGAGGCATTGTTCTGATCGTACCAACGGCCCTTGTACCAGGCTCCACCTGTGCGCAAGATGCGCCGATGCACACGCATGAGAGAGCGTTTAGCAATTCGCTGTCTTTGGATGGATGGCGGATGCGACACGCAAGTCGCTCCCCGTGTTCCCAGAGGCTTCGCGGGAGCCTGTCGTGGAGCGGGAGTGGATCTCCCCGCTTCACCACTGACCTGGGAAGCCAGTGGAACCCTCGCGTCTGGTGTAGTAGTTGCTCCAGCGGCTTGCATGTGCAAAAGTAGCAATCCTAGTGTGGAAAGAAATCGGCAGCTGGCTTGTCTACTACACCTCCCGGACTTGGGACCGGGAGAGCCCTGCATACAGTATGGGAGAACTGAGTGCCCCCTAGCATGATGGTTGGTGCCTAGTCGGGGGAAGCTTAGAGGATGTGTGCTATCAGGTAAGATTTGAGGCATGTTGGTGTCACGTAGGGGGGATCCAAGTCGTACGGGACGTGGAGAGAATCTTAGACCCTGGGAGTGAGGGCCAGGCATGCTATAGGTCACTGTCCCGCGATGCAGATTACCTGTCATGTTGCCGGCAAAGGCGTGAGAACAGGCAGTCCACAAGTCCCAAAAGTGATATGTAACAGGAGCTAGGGCTTGACTCAGCAGGTGGTCACGCTGTTGGCATAAGGAGGCGTGGGATCGCCTGCGGAGGGCAACGCCTCGAGTAAGAGCCGAGCTTGTCCGGCAAGGCTTCCTGGCCCATGGGTGTCGACAAGAGAACCGATTTTTAAGTAGGGTGGGCAAATGCCACGGAAAAGCGGGTATGTCAACCCAAGTGTGCCACAGCTGGGACTCGCCCGAGCAGCTACTGCATCCTGTATTGTGCACACTGAGACTCTGATTGAGCAGCCTGAGCTGCTCCTGGAGGGGCGGACACGTGAACGGACTGCCTGGCGGGTTGACGGTTGCGGTGCAATATCTTGGGTAATGTGGACGCACCTGGCACCAACCGGGGCCACTGTGGCTAGATGGCGAGGGAACACATGAAGCCTCCAACCAGGCAAAGTCGGAGGCAAACAGCTCTGTCCCAATAAACCTGCGGCCCAAGAAGTCACTAGCATCAGCTCCACTGGAACCCGGAAAATCAGGCCTGACCTCAGCATAAAATAACAAATGAGGGCGCCTGCACCCGCGCGGCTCCTGAAGACTCCTGCCAGGCGATGGGTTACAGTCGTCATGGGAGGGGGGCCGTATGACATGATAGGTCCAGTGAGGAATCGGGTTTGCCAGAGGGTGAGGAGCTGTGGACGAGCCCAGGTGGTGCAAAGCATCTAGGGCAGAGCAGGGAACGGGAGTATAGATGAAAAGAGGCTGACGAGAGAACCCCAAAACATGTCCAGACCCATCCCGGCCCTGCATGTACGGCCGCGCATCGTTCGGGCGTCTGTCGAAGCCTCTAAGCTCGTCAAGATACACAACAAAGCTATCGTCGACAGCGATGGTGTGCCCGCCATGGGCGAGATGATAGCCGGGAGGTCTGACTACCCGGATACGGCCAGTGGCTTGATCACGCTTCAGCCGGGCGACTCCAGACGGTAGGCCGGTGGAGATGTTCCCTCGGACAGGCAAGTCTCCCCGACGACGCAACCTGGTCAACTCGGCATCGTCGTGGTCATCCTCTTCGTCCTCCTCTGATGTGTCGTCCCATACCTGGGTATCCAGAGTAGGTACAGACCTCGCTACCTCTGCCACCGGCGCGGTAACCTCTGCCATTTGACCAGCGATCCCAGGCTCTGTAGTTTCCTCCGTACAACACTCGACCGCATGTGAAGTCGACTCAGGTGGTACCGGCGCAGCCACCTCGTCCCGCGTGAGTCCTGGTGTTTCCTCCGTAGCAGGGGAGATGTAGTCTGTCCCTGCAGTGGCACCAGAAATATCCGAAATCCCCACATCTGCAACAGGAGCAGCGGTGACAGGGCGGCCTCGTCCGCGCACCTTAGGTGTGGGCTTAGCAAAAGCTCGAACCGGCCTTTCCACCTCGGGCGACTCGGCCGGGGTCTGCACACCAGTGAAGCTCCCTCCTACATGCGCCCTTGCCCCACCAATCGCCGTGTGGAATTGAACTTCCGAGACCGGAAACCTTCGTGGCCGCAAACTGGCTTCAGTCCGATCGGCAGCTATAGTGGCAGAAGGGCCCCCACGATCACTTGCCGAATGCTCTGGAGGTCCCGGTCGAGGCGGCAATGCTCCTGCAGGCCAGTGCCTTCCACCTGTATGACTCCGCACTGAGGCGACCGGTGGCATCGGAGGTCGATGTGCAGGTTCATGACGGGTGGAGGCAGAAGCCGGGACAGCGTAATTGCGTCCTAAGGCTGCAGCAAGTGCCATGAACTCCTCCGGAGATCTTTCGACTCGAAGGTCACTGACATCGAAAAACTGGTCTGCATCCTCTGCACGTGGCCCGGAAGCAGGAGGCTGGGAGCCCGAAGCCGGATTGGTGGTGGATGCCATGCTGGCGGCGCCAACTGAGAACACCGTAAGAGGTCGAGCTGGTCTAGCCCCAGAGTCGATGCCTAAGCCTTCCGAGCTCTCAGAGGAGGAACTGCAATCAGCCCCTTCGGTCCCCGCGTTGCGGATTCTCTTCGGGGGCCGATGGGCTTCACGTTCTGTGTCGCGAGGCCGGCGACGTCGCCCAGCTCGCTTCCCTCGTTTGCCCATGCAGGAAACGGGAGCACCGAGGTTGTCTGCACGGGTCTTCAGGCCATGCCCACCGAGCCCAAACGAAGAGACACTAGTAACCCAAACCCGAAAAGATCCGAAGTCGATAAGGGTGAACCAGGGAACCCAAGGTTCCTCAGAGGCCTGGGCTGTCTGGCTGCCTTGGAGAGGCTGGAAGCCTACGCTTAGTGCTGGGGCTGCGTATCCTATCGTGGTATGCGGTCCCGGTTGTGCAGCTTCCCTAGAGCCAAAGGTGTTGGGGCGCACAGGCACAAGATGCGCGTACTTCCAAGGCGGTGCAACAAGCCCAGTAGATGGCAGCAACCAAGCGGGAAAAGAACCCTCAAGCCGACGCATACCGAGCCCAGAAAAACAACCCCTGACTGACCCTACCCAATACTGATTGGCTCCTGAGTGGTGAAGGCAGGCCCAGCTGGCCGCCACACGGGGCGATAATGGTAGTACCTGCGCATACGGCTGTGGTCGAGGATGTTGTTGGGAGAGGGGTAGGCGAGTGGCGCACAGGGAATGCAAACTGTTCCACGTCGGACCTGCATGGACATGTCTCTCGGATGGAGCACAACAGCGGGCGGAGGCAAACCTCCAACACCGCGCCGATTGCAACGGACCTCGTGGCAGTGAAGAGAGAGAGGTGAGCCTCCGCAGATCTTGGTCCTGAAAAGCAGGCGCAACAGTCCACCGTGTGAGTAACCTGCGGATAGCACCTGCCTCAGTCCATCGAAAATAGGTCCAATTGCCCTTGCTTCTGATGGTGTCCCCGGACTGATGTGGCCGGCTTTGTCTGCTGTTGGTCGGTCGGATGGCTCGTCGAGGAAGAGACCAATGCCCGAGCTGCCCGCCGCGCGTCTGATTGAGTGGCGGCCACCGGCGAGGGCACCAAGGCAGTGCTAAAAATCGACTGGTGGAAACGAATACCCCTGAGTCTGATGCTGCAGTTGAGGCTCTCGTGGGACGACGTTGAATCGGAGCTGGGTCTTGTCGTAGTCCTTGTGGTGCCTGCATCAGGTCCATCCAGCCAGCGCTGTGCTTCTGAAGTACCTGTAGATTGCATGTTCCCCCCAACGCCGTGGCCAGCCATGATAGAAGCAGGAATAACCAGCCGCTCATGAACCAGTGGCGAACGCCAGAGTCAGAGGCGAGTGACGAAGCTATGGCGTTCTCACGTCCCGGAAACTTAGGGGGGAAAGGCGGGGGCACAGAAGGGAGAGGAACGCACACACAAACGTAACCCCGGGCACTCAAAATGTCTCGGGCCCAGACGCTTGGTGGTG